AAAAAGGGATTTTCCATTAATATTTCTTCAAAGTACTGCTCTTTTGGGTACATTTACCTCTAAGTTTAAAAAAAAAAAGGTTTCACATTAAACTTAAATGTATTCCAGGTGCATGGTGAAAGATCAGTCCTCTACTCAGACAACGCTGTTAGCAATGCAATTACTTTTCCGTGTAAATCCATTTTATGTATTTATTTTAGTCAGGAGCATTTTATTTAAATTGTGTAAAATGTGTTTACAAAAACAACTGTAACAAAATCAATCAAAGCTAACAACTGGTCAAGTAACGGTTAGTTTAATTAAAAGACACACTAATTAATGGCTGCATAATGTAGTCTAAATAATAAACTAAAAGCTAATGCCTCTCCAGCAGTCAACAACCAAAGCTACCGCCACAACAGCAACCAAAGCTAACGGCATTCCAGCCATCACTGACTAGGGCTAACACCTTCAACCAACAGCAATTAAAGCTAATTCCTCTTGAGCTAACAGCAACTAAAGCTAACTCTCTGCAGCCAACAGCGACTAAATCTAACCCTTCTTCAACCAACGGCAATTAATGCTAATGTATCACCAGCTAATAGCAACTGAAGCTAACTCCTCTCCAGCCAACAGCGACTAAAACTAACACCTCTTCAACTAACAGCAATTAAAGCTAATATCTTGCCAGCAAACAGCAACTCACGCTAACTCCTTTTCAGACAAAGGTTTCTAAAGTTAAACCCTCTTCAACCAACAGCAATTGAAGCTAATGCATCACCAGCTAACAGGAACTGAAGCTAACTCCTCTCTGGCCAACTGCGACTAAAGCTAACACCAATTCATCCAACAGCAATTGAAGCTAATGCATCACCAGCTAAAAGCAACTGAAGCTAACACCTCTCCAATCCACAGCAATTAAAGTTGCCAAAAAAGTACCAAAAAAATAATTGTAAAATATATAATATTCTTTTTTTAATACTTTGATAAAGTTTTGGATTTAGGTTGTCTTAAGGCTAATTTATACTTCTGACGCATAGCCCTTGAAACCGTCATCTGTCAATCTGTCTCTGTGCACAGATAAAAAAATCCTGACTACACATCGGACGCTAGCAAACTTGCGCAGACCTCAAGCAGACGTGCGCAGACAAAAAGCAGCTGTGATTGGTCCTTGGTATGCCTTTCCGGCTGTCTGTGTGGTCATCCTTCTTGATTCGGTGCCGGGTCAGGTCATTTTTAAAAACCGAGGAATAACAAGAATGGATTCTCTAGATCCATCTCTGTGACCGTGATATCTTCCAGATGCGCCATTGTTGTTTTGGAAAATAAACACTCAAGCCGGCGCTGCCAAAGAACTTCTTGTGACCATCCGCCGAAGTTCTCGCAAGTTCTAGAATAGGCTCCCCCTTGCACTTTGACGGAAACCTGCTGTGCGTCCCTAGAAATTCCTGACCGACGTTACAGAAGCGTACCAGCAAAACTGGTTCGCGACCAGACTCAAGCAACATATGATGTGTGCAGTTGAAGAAGTGTAACCCGCCCTTTAGATGATATTTTAGCATACCTGTTAACTCAGTTCTTCCATGAGAACTTCTCCCTTACTCTGTCAAACTGAGGTTGCTCTGAATGTTGGTCAGTAAGGTACAGACCAAGAAGAGGCTGCTTAAAAAACAAGGCGATCTGAAAACAAACCCTGTCGAGAGTTTCAGTGAGACTGGTACATTACTCCAGCAGCACTCCTGGTGGTGACATTAAAGCTTCCTCTGACATTTGTTCAATATAAAAAAAAAAAAAGTCATAGAGAAATGCTATGAGGGCTGCCTGATTCATCAATACCTTCATATAAGGATACATTGACCGGAGTCAAATGCGGCATAATTATCCAGTTTGGATTAAAAGCAGCAGACGATAGTTTCTTGGAGAAAAGGTGCCTCTAGTAAACTTTCTACTCATTAGAAGCTTTCACAGCTGCTATGGTGTTCTGAAGAATATTCCTAAAAGGTCACTGTTGATATTTGGACAGGGTTTGCCCTTTCACATGATCGGCAAGTGATCCATCTGAATAACAAATAGGCCCCTGTGTTCTGTAAACAGATGATGCCTCATTGACAAAGCAGTGCAGTCGTTGATGTTTCCTCTACAAATAAGTATGACAACTGATTAACTGAATATTACAAACTTAAAGTACACCTTTGAGTGTTTTTTTTTAGTAGCAGTATTGTAATTTCATTCATAATTCTAAAATATGCACTTTGATTGACATTATGTACTACCAGGAAGTTTTTACTCATCATTTTGTCCATATTTTAAGTTACTGATTTACAATTTAAACAATTTGTAATTAATTGTGCATGTCCCTAAACCTGCTGGACTGAGTAACCAGTTTGCATAGTAATGGCAGCATCATTCTATGGGATGGTTATAGTTTTCTATGTGAAACACTCTGTGTTTCACCTAAAGTCTGGATAGGAATCCAATTTATTATCTTACCAAAGACCTACAGACCCGTTGATGTAACTGATCACGCTTGAGACGATCTAGAATAGAAGGACATACCCTAAAACAGGGAACCTTTTGGTTGTGATTGCTGCTAAAACAATTTGATCACACTTAAGGAATCCTTACAGTAGCTGTGAAATCTTATGTACTCGTGGTTCAAATATTAGATTTTTCTTCATAAATTTACAAAAATACCTGACACATGTTTACCCTTTGTCTTAAGGGCTAGTTTGTGTATTGTTAGCTGACCAGGTTCATTCATAAATACCAGTCCGCCAGGATGCAACAAAGGCCAAATGGTAGAAACCAAGTATTTCTATGTTTTAAGTTATATATTACTTGTTTTTAAGAGAATTTCTAACCAATAATAATTCCTCAGTACTTGTAGGGTTTTAGGACATTAACTCCAGCCCCTTCCAAAGTCCAGATCAAAACGCATTAAAAAAATTTTCTGCCCTAAATCAATTCTTAAATACTTTGCATTTTAAATGGGAAATTAAATAACATTAGCAATTAACATAAAAATCTACAAAAAAAAACCCAAAGATGGTTTATGTAGAAATTGAAAAGAATGGGCCCTAATATGTAGCCCAGAGGGACTCCGTAAATCCCACAGCATGCGATCAGTGTGCCGCTTGCCGAGTCCTTTGCCCCAGGTAGACACGCGTCAGTGAGCTCCTCCCAGTGCCACTAAAAGTAGTTTGTTCCCGAGTTTAAACAGGTTTTTCAGCCAGTGGGAAATGGTTATTTTTGGGTTATTTTAGATGCTTGCATTGAGTCAAATCTAAAGGTTCAGTTAAGGGACACTGGAATGTACTGAACTTAATGGTTAAAATCATACAATGTGGGTTCGACGAGGAATTCTGAGACATCTTAATTAAATGGACTCAGCTTGTTCATGATGACTCGTTTCTTTGTGTAATTGTATTTATATCGCTGCAGGTCGCTCAGCATCTGGCCTCAACCTACGGCGGGAAAGCGTTCGACGTTGCCAAAATGGCAAAGGTTACAGGCCAGAGGTGGCCCATCGTTGGGAAACGTCTGGTGTCCGAGTTCCCCTACATCGAAGCAGAGGTAAAGCCGTCACCATCTTACGGGGAACCTTCCAGTTCAGCATCCAGGGACTCTCTAAGACCAGGTCCCTTATTCCAGGTGCTGTACGCGATCAAGGAGTACGCCTGCACCGCCATTGATGTCATCGCTCGGCGCACAAGGCTGGGCTTCCTGAACGTGCAGGCGGCGGACGAAGCGCTCCCCCGGATCGTCCACATCATGGGCAAAGAGCTGAACTGGAGTCAAGAGAAGAGGACGGTACGTGACACCTATGCTCCTCCTCTACTTAAAGAATGGCTTTTTATTTAGTCTAAATGAAGTGATTGTGTTTATCAATCTGGTTCTGTATCTGATGTGAAATCCAGGAGGAGCTGGAAGCAGCAAAGAAGTTTCTGTACCATGAGATGGGCTACAGGTCTCGATCGGAGCAGCTTACCAAGACATCAGAGATCAACCTGGACTACCAGGAAGTTGTCAAGTACTGTTCTTTTTCCTTCACCTTCTAAGTCCCACTTCTCATATTCCCCCTTCCTAAAAATTAGGATTTGTTTTATAGGTACAAGAACCGGTTCCATAAATTTGACAAAGAGTCCAAAGGCTTCATCACCACAGTTGATGTCCAGCGAGTCTTAGGGGTAAGTCCCTTTCAGCCGGTTTCCTCTCCTCCTCATTACGCGCCATTGATCCCTCGTTCTCCCCCCCGTCTGCAGAGCATCAATGTTCACATCGACGAGAATGCACTCCATGAAATCCTTAACGAGGTGGACCTCAATAAGAACGGACAGGTGGAAATCGACGAGTTCCTGCAGGTAGGCTAACATATGACGGGAATAGTCTGGTTTCTAGCTCTGATGCCTTCAGATGACTTTAGAAAAGTATATCCCATGTTTTTTACTTCAGCTGTACTTTCATTCACATGTTCTTCTGAGGGATTCAATAAGGATTGAAATGATCTACAAGCCGTTAAAGTATAAAAAATATTGCATAGCAACAATATGGAGAAAGGCTGATTTTTATCCTTTTTTTTTTCTTCTGAAGAACCATTTATGGCCTGATTACAACATATTTTACAACCGGTTATTTCATCCAAAAGATAACTGCTGCTTCGTTTACTACCACTAAAAAGGATGAATTACTGTTAAAAGCTACTTTTTAAAGTTAAATTTCAAAACAAAAATGTAAATAATCCACTTATTAATGTCCCTTTTTTAACAATATTTAATTTAAGTCAGGCCAACAACCGATTTGAAATATAAATACAAGGATTGAACGTTAAAATTCTTAAACTGAGCCAGTAAGCGGTATGGGAAAAGGCTTCCTCTGCCGTTTGTCTCAAGTGCTCATTGATATTATTTTCACAGCATTTTTGCGTCCTTTTTATCCCTATTTCTTTGTGACTTACTGACAAATTAACAGGGTACTAGAAACCCAGTTTTTATATAAAACCTTCTGGTATTTCATGTCAATGAGTTGATGCAATCAGCGGGTTTTCCTTAGATTGAAACTGAATCAATCAGACTGTATGATCTGGTTGAATTGTCTCTATAAAGTACCTTGAGATGACGTGTCCTGAATTGAAGCCATATAAATAAACTGAATTTAATTGATATTTTAAAAGTTTTATTAAACCAAACTGTCCCACAGCATCACCAGTGTTCAACATTGGGTAACTCGTGCTTTCCGTTCACATCTAAAGACATACAAACTCTTCCGTTTTGCTCTTTAGACCTCTAGATCAGTGGTTCCCAAAGTAAGAAGTCCCAAGATGATCCATGAGGTGTACGGAGGGCCAAAATAAAAATATTTATATGTTTACATCTCAAGAAATTAACAATACAACATGGAAAAAAGCCTGGATTTATCTAATATATAATAAAATTATTAAATATATTCAATCAAACTATAAAAACACTGTGATGAATAAATAACTAAAAATACAATAAAATTTAGTAAATAACTACATTGATTAATTAATAACATAAAAATGACTATAACTATTTTACTTTATAACAGTGGTATTTAATCCTTTCTTGGGGCCCCTTTTTGTATTCGAAGATCAACTGCAGAAAAGCATATTGCAATGAAATAAACTAAAAATTTGAATTTATTAACAAAACTATTTTTTAAGATTTTTTAAGTTGTATGTATTTGTGTAACAAAAAAATGGAAATTGGCATCAATTTGTATTGTTTTTATTAACTGCTCGCACTCTCCACCGTGGGAACTGGTAATTTATATGTACAAATTAGGAGTTATTAAAGTTTATTTAGGAGTCACAGGCTGAAATGATTCAGTTGATCATTTCACCAAAACAGTCCCACAGCATTATGGAATCTCCGCCGTACATTATTAGGAGTAGTTTTGATTTCACAACTAGGAGCTTAGCTTTCACACAAAAGTCGCTCATATATTTTCAGTTACAAAATGTATGTTTTAGGGAGTTGTTGACAGAGAAACGGCCCCACAGCATCATAGATCCTCTTCCATGCAATTCTTTTGTTTGTAGATGTTTGTATGAAAATCCCAACAGAGAAATTCGTTTTATTTATGTTACTGATTAATTGGGATCAGGATTAGGGGGATATTGGTTTTTAATTTCTGATTTTTAAACGTTGGGATGTAAAGCTGGTCAGAGGAGTTGCTCATCCTGAAGGAACGCTAATTATTTCTACCAAAGGGACCTTCCAGCTTCAGGTTGACAGGCTAACCTTTTCCCCACCGTGTTTCTGCTCTTTTACCCCAAACGCAGCTGATGAGCGCCGTGAAGAAAGGACACGTGTCCGACAGCCGCCTGGCCATCCTCATGAAGACGGCCGAGGAGACGCTGGAGCAGAGAGGGCCGGTGACGGTGGACCGTAGCGGCGGTGGAGTCTGAGCCTCAGAGGCTGTATGCAAATGGTCGCATTTGAATCACAATAAGGCAATCAGACTCGCAGCGGGACGAGCTTGACCGAATCAGGGTGTGAGGGGCTGGGGGGGGTTGGATCTAATGATTGAAGTCAGGGAGATAATTCTTGTGCTTCTGAGGGCATAAAACGTTTCATCGCGGATTTCGAAACAAAAAACAACCTTTTTGACATTTTGCCGTTTCCAGAATTGCTCCATATTTTAGCGATCAGCACTGATTGTAGATTAGAAACGTTTCAGATCAGCTTTCAGGCCTTTTTTTTTAATTTTTTGAAGCTGCAACAATTTCAATCAAACCAGATGTTTCCACCAGGAAATTAAAAGTTAACCCAACTACACATGTTTTATGATTAAAAGGGGAAATATTCACAATATTCAAAAGAAAAAACAGACGGATTTGTTTGGATTAATCCTTTGATGGATCAAAACTTGTTCTGGAGCTTTTTCTCTCTGCTGCTCTGTTGGAATTGATGAGAAACTAACACATAACAAATCCTCACTTTTTTTGCCTTTAATGTAAATCATGAGCAAAATGCTGCAGATGTTAGGAGGTAAAGACTTTGTAACAAATTTTAGATTTTCCCTTTTTTTTAAATCAATATGAATATTAAAGAAACTTTTCAGCAAAATATTGTTCTCTGAGGCAAATAAAGCTTTTACTAGGGTTTTTAATGTTTATTCTATGTTTAACAGAGAAAGAAAACATGTTTTCTCGATGAAAAACACAATTCTTCACCGCCCTCTACAAGAAATTTGATAGATGACTAAAGAAGCTCAAATTAGATCATTTTGTCTCTTTGTTCAATTTTCTTTTTTTAAACTTCCTTATCAAAGAAAATAAAGATGCTTTCTTGCTTGGAGCTACAGAACAGAGCAGATAAACATCCATTGTTGCGTCGCCGGGTCTTGACCAGCGTTTGACCCGGCGTAAAAATTTTGGAATTTAAGCATTTTTTTTTATTTTTATTCCCAAAACGCATTTGGTTTGAATGCATCTTAAGGCCAAGCCTTAAGCTGGTAATCTTAACTTTCACAACAAAATCCTTATTTTTCCATAAATTTTTAATCTTTTTAAGTTTTTAACATTTTTATACGAACATCGAATATTTGAATAATAATCACAGCTGGTATTTGCCGATCCTTGCAGTGTTTAGCGTTGTCATTTGTATTTAATGTGGCTCCTACCTGCTAGCAAGTCGCTAATAAATAAATGATCTTAAACTCTCTTCAATGAAAAGCTGTTGTTCAAAAATGACAAGGCTGAGCTTTATAACTAAAAGCACATTTAAACTTTAAAGGTTCCTCAAGCACTCCTGATGCTCTAATTTACTTTTTGTACCTTTACCTGCTTATCCTGCCTATAAGCTGCAGCCACTAAGGAAGTTTACAGGCTTTTAATATTTTTCTACTGATTATTTATTCTTTATTCACACTACAGCTGCCTGTAGTTCACTGAGATAATATTTAAGTATAAAATATGAGGAATGGTGGAGGTTTTATTTTAAAGCAAAACGACTACTTTTAATAGTGGAAAGTATGAGCTAATATGGGATTCCAAAAGTGTCAAGATTTTTTTTTTAAAAAAAGCAAAACATAAACTATCTGAATGTCATCATTAGAAATAATAAATGTGTCTAAAATGTTTAAAAACAAATAGTTTTAATATAAAACTTAAGAAATAAACACATTAAATGTAATATATGAGTGAACATAAAGCTCCATTTAATGGTTTAAATATTTATTTCATTATTTTTATGGTTTATTCTATGCAAAAATAACTTCCACCGTCAGATCAACTGCACACATCTAAGGACACACACATCATTGGCCCCGCCCGCAATATAAATGTAAACATTGTTGCACATCTTTTTACAATAAATCAAATTGATTTATAAATTAGATATAAAATTTTAGTTAAAAAAAAGCATATTTTTGTAATATAATATATGTAACTAACAAGTATACATTTAATATGAATGTTATTTTTTATTGATTTATATTTTCAGTGAAACGTGGCATGTTTGTACCCCCATATGAATGCCGTTAATTGTAACCATAAATGTTTTTTATTACTCTTTCTATTTGCATGCTTCTGGTCGAGAACAAAGATTCTGCATGTTGGCTGACGTCTTACTGCTTATGCAACTTTTTTGAAGTTGTAAAAATTGTTTGATGCTGTGATGAATGTATGCCATGTGCCTTCACTAATTTTTATTTTCCCACAAAGCGCACAAAGTCCAATGTTTGTATTTGATGATTTGTTAAATAAAAACATTTATGAACCGGATTGTGCTTTGATTTTTCGATCTTGGATATTTTACCTTCTAATTTCACTTGAAAGCGAAAAAAATATTATTTTGTGTTTTATTTTAAATAAGAAGAAATAAAAGTTCGTTTTTCTCACAAGAATAGAAGCGCAGTCACACATTGTGGGCTAATAGAAAGTGGCTGAAAAACATCCTTTTCTCCAGAAAAGGTCACAGTGAGGTTTGAGTGACAGCTCTAAGTCCTCCACTCTTGTTACAGTCCGCAGCAGAGACGTCTTCCTGGGGAAAAGGCTTGGAGCAGCGGGAAGCAATTAGCAGTCATAAATAAGGGGGAAAATCTGTCTGTCGGGCCACCAATAATATGGTTCAATGCTCCCTGGAGGATTCCCTCTTGGCCATGGCAGAGAGGCCTCGATAAAACTTTACATTTTCATTCATTATGGAATACTTTACAGATATAAACATAAAAAAAAATTCTAATCCAATGATATATGCAATTTCTGTAGCGTAAATAACAGTACAGTGATAAGTTAGACATCGCTACAAAATATACAGCACTTATTTTTTAATGTTACCTCCACAAACATATTTCTCAGAGTGAAGCATGGTAGTGGCAGCATTGTGAAGAGGGAAAAAGGTAATTATTTTTCAATATCTTAAGGTGATTTGCGCAGTGTCTTATAATGCATAGAAGATTACACAAGCTCTGTAAGATTCACTTTCTCCATTTAACTTAGGCCCGTACTTTAACTAGACCTTTCCAACCCATGAATATGCTTTAATTCCAACTGCTGGTTTTGGGTGTTTATTTTGCTGTAAGCCACACTATGTATTTTGCAAGTTTGTAATGTTTTTATGTTCTTTCTTTTTTTTTTTTTTTATGTTGTTTGCTTTGTCTCTAGTGAAACCAAGCAGGCCCACATAATGATTCTGCCACCACCATGTTTCACCCTGGGATTACCGTATATTTGCTACTTTTATTCACTAATAAGGTCATTTCTAAAGCCAGTAGGTGGCAGTGGACTTTGTTTAGGAGAATTAATGGTCAAAAACAGAGATAATCATTAATTGTTAAGGGTTTTGACATTATATTGATTTCTATATAAACATGGGCGGTTCTAGACGGGGGCCAAAGGGGGCCAGTGCCCCTGTAGATCATGTCCTGGCCCCTGTTATGGCCCCTTTACTGAAGACATAATACTCAAAGCAATTCTAATGATGATATGCGCTGCAACAGACATGGTTACTGATAGGTCCTTTGGATCTATTTCATTTTTTCCCCTTACAAAATCTGTTTAATTATCCAAAAACAATAAGGTGATGGCCTCAGTGGAATTGAGGTAGTATCCCAGTTTTTATCTGCTAAATGTTTTTTCGAAACAGACAAAAAAAAAATACTCACATTTTTACAGCTAAATTTATCAGTTTTTCTTGAGTTCTAATTCAGATTTTTACTTAAATTAAGTCAAAAATGTGTAAAATTCCTGAATTATGAATGTATATTGACCTAAAAATATAGAATTTTAATTAAACCTAATTGAATAGAAATGTCCCTACATGCAGCTCTCCTAATATATTTGAATCCCTTGCTCTGATTTTTATTTCATGCTTTTCTGGGCCCCCATAGAAATATGCGGGGCCCCTCCTGGTACATTTTTGTCTAGAACCGCCACTGTACATATATATATATATATATATATATATATATATATAAATACAATTCTATAATGATGATGTGCATGTTTACATCAATAAGTCTCTAATTAAATAGAAATCAGTACTTATACATGAAAAAAAAAGATTGCTGCTGGGTCCAGATTGACATGGGTGGGTTTGTCCTCACCTAAGACACAATTCTATTGGTCTGCATTAATGTTACCAACAACAAATGTGTTTTTACTGGGCTTGAAGTGCAGATAATGTTATGTCTAAAATGCAAATTGTCAACTCAATATGGAAAATAGAAATCTGAAAATGTAAACTTAGTCAAAAAAATGTATTTAAAAAATCTGCAAAGTTAATGCAAAATCGTTTTTTTATTAAAGCTTTGCATTTTTTTTCAATTTATAAAATGTTTTAATTACTTTCAACAATAATTGAACAACATTCATGCCATAGATTTTGCTCTACAGAGTATTTTTGCACATTGCTGCTTTCACCACAAAGTATAAACCAACAGCACTTTTAGACTAAGCAAACCACATTTTAGTAACTATTACTGCTACGTTCACACTGAACGTGATTTGAGCAGCTGAACCAGCCAATTTACATGAAAAGTCTAGAGTTGAAGCGCATATAAACAAAAGTCCTGCAGCCCATCTTGAAGCATCTGAGCAGCCAAAGCAGCGCCTTCATGTGCATTCAAGCAAATTTTTAGGTTTTACCACGCAAACCACGTAAAATTACAAGCTTTACATAAAAGGCAATATTTTCCTGTACAAAGAAAAGTGAGTGGTATGATCAGTTGCTGAAACAATTTATTGATGCCTAAATTAACTTGAAATTACGGAAGAGAATTAGGGCCACTGAAAAAATAAAAAAAGTTAACTGATTTTTACATTTTATTTAAGTTTAATATGGGAAAAAAGTCAGAATTCTGACTTTTTTTCTCAGAATTCTGACTTAAATCAGAAGTCTGACTTTTTTCTCAAAATTCTGACTTTAATCTCAAACTTCTGACTTTTTTGTCAGAATTCTGACTTTTTTCTCAAAATTCTGACTTTAATCTCAGATCTGACTTTTTTCGCAGAATTCTGACTTTTTTCGCAGAATTCTGACTTTTTTCGCAGAATTCAGATTTTATTCTCAAAATTTTGACTTTTTTCTCAGAATTCTGACTTTAATCTCGGAATTCTGACTTTTTTCTCAGAATTCTGACTTTAATCTCAGAATCCTGACTTATTTCTCAGAATTCTGACTTTTTTCTCAGAATTCTGAATTTAATCTCAGAATTATCTCAGAATTCTGACCTTTTTCTCAGAATTCTGACCTTTGAAGAATTCAGTGTGATTGCAGCATTAATGTTAACTTAGATGATGCATAGAAATAGGAGCCTGTAAGCACTGCCAGATGAGTTCAAAGTAATGGTGTAAAGGATCTGATTCTCAAGCTGTTTATTGTCGGGTTTTATATTATTGGCAGAAATAGAGGGGCCCAACAAGGACATTTTGCTCAGGGCTCCATGGAAGCTTTGGCCGGCCCTGTTCCCGAAGACTCGTGTATTTGATCTCCATACGAATGTCACATTTACTGCTAAAAGCTATATTTAAGATCTGTTTTCTGCATGTAGATTTTTGTA